TGTTTAAATCTGTTGTCACTATTCTACATCCAACTGATTCTTTCTCGCTTGCACAGGGAATTTATTCGTATCCCGGCATCAACCAAGGATCCTACCCCACGGCAAACCGACACCCTTCTTTCACGGGTCCGGGAGGGGAGGCCCGATTTCATTTCTTGGTTCAAAACAAAGGTATTGTCCAATTTACCTCGTACCTAGTTCGAGATTCCGAGTTTCGCATACTTAGTCCGGCAATCTTTCCTTCTTGCGCTTGCAGGCCCAAACCGATGCAACTATGAGTAAGGAGTTGAGACAAAGTTGCAAATGGCTTCGACAATGAAGGTGAAAGCTTATTCAGGTTATGATGTGAATGGATATCGCTTTCACAAAAGAAGCTACGAAGCGAGCTCGGCCCCATCGAAAAAACCACAAACAATGAGTTTGTACTCTAAGACCTTGATGGCCTCGAGTATCATGGCATAATTGAAGATATCTATGAACTTGAATTTTATGGTTCGAAACCTCTTCGTCTCGTCATGTTCAAATGCCACTGGTTCAATCCTCGACTAACGAAACGGAGCCCTAATATTGGTCAAGTCGAGATTCGACACGATTCCATCTATCAAGGAAAAGATGTCTTTATTGTGGCGGATCAGGCCGTGCAGGTTTATTATTTATCATACGCATGCCAAGGCAACAAGGCTCTTCAGGGTTGGTCTATTGTGCACCAGGTATCGCCACATGGTAGACTAGCTGTCCCAAACGATGAAGATTACAACTTCAACCCAAACACATATGATGGAGAGTTCTATCAAGAAGATGGGCTACAAGGGAGGTTGGTGATAGACTTAACCGAGGCGATTGGAATGGAAGTAGACAATGAAAGGGTTGATGACGAGGAAGAAGGAGATGAGGTGCAAAATGCCAAGGATATAGAAATGCTTGAGCGATTACATTTAGATGATGACGATGAAGGCAACATTGAACCTTGAGACGATACCTTATTTATTTGGACAATTTTGATAGTGATGACGAGACATATGATCCAGATAATCCCAATAATGATGATTACTTCTAATACATGTAATACTATGTTATTTTGTAATCGTGTTTTGTTTATTTACTTAGCATCTATTTCTAATACATGTAATGATGTCTTGTTTGTTTCTTTTTAATTGCAGGTGATTGAACAAAGATGGCGGGCGGCAGTGGGCCAAGGAACGTGAACTCGAGGTACCAGAGGGCACGTGAGGACGCAGATGTCGGAGAGAACGCATCGGACGGGAGGAGGCGAGAGGCCAGGAGCAGCGGGAGGCGGCGGCAGGAGGCCGGCCTCCTCTAGTCGAGCCGCGTGGACGTCTTGGGAGGAGCGCCGTACCACGGACTTCTCGGAGGACGAGCGGTGTTCAGCGACGGACGAGGTTCGGGCGACAGACAACGAGGAGAGGCACGGAGGGCGGCGAGGGCCGGAAGTAGTTCCACCGCCTCTGCTGCGGCTAGCCCCTACTTATGAGGTCCTCAAAACTCCCAGGCCTCCGCTTCCTCCCCACGCCCAAAGATCCGCCCCGTGGGGACAGTAACTAACTTTAGATTTAATCATAGCTACTTCATATAACCTGTTGAAAATTGTTAGAGAAACTAATAATGTTTGTTAATGACTTGTGCAGTCACTGGGAGGTTGTGTCGCCTGGTGACTCACGCAACCCCAACCACATCTTGGGGCTTGTGTGCAGGCACTATTACCCCGGCATTATCACGCACAAGGGGACCTGTGGGGCCAGCCAAATCGTGGGACCACTACAAATGTCTGTCGTCGACGCAGATTATGAAGAAGACAAGCGAGAGCGGGTCGGAGAGAGTTCTGGGTAAGTCTCGTTCAGACAACTTTGATCAATACATCGCATTCATTTGACACTTTTGACATAATGAATTGATACATTGTGTCTGTCTGCTGCAGACTTTTTTCAGTGTGAAGAGGGACAGGAGGAGAGGCGGGAGAAGAACTTGGTGAAAAGTGCCGAAACGCATCAATGACATGCACTATGAGGAGCGCCTCACTTGCATCATCAAGTACTACGCCACGCGACTTGGTCGAAAAGTCAACAAGACACAGGCAAGACAGATGCCTCCTCGACCGGGAGCAGTTCCTTGAGGTAAATGAAGAAGAATAATACTGATTCATTTTGAGATTAAGTAGCTTTCATTTGGTCGCCTTACATATCAAATTCTTTGACATGTAGATGATTCCATGGTGGTGCGAGTCCTTTGCCGATCTGGCTGGGAGATGATCGTGGACAGTGGTTCACGAGAGGGTTATATCCAGAACACGAAGCCCACCGGGAGCGGGCTTTGCTGAAGCGACAGGCCCCACACACCACCAAGGTAGCCGCAGCCTCGGCGGCGTGCATAAGCAAGCTTGGGTACGTGAATTCATTTTAGTATTCGGCGCCCATTCTCGCATGTTTCTTCTAATCATCTTGTTGTCTTTCTCGCAGTCGGCGTCGCATGGTGGCCAGCCTTTGTCCACGTTCATGGCGTATGGACTGGCCCGCAAGGGAAAGGCGACTTCCGCTGTCACCTTCAGCCCGGATGACCCACCCGAGTCGTACAGCAACCCGAGCGCCCACACCCGCATCAGCTCCTACGCGTCAGAGGCAAGGTCGGTCCAGGGGCCAGACTGGGATCCGAGCACCGACGACATTGATGGCACGACTGTCATGAGGATCGGACAGGGCAAGAAGCATGGTCGATCTTGGCTTGGCGATGGCACCCTCGAGTCCGCTCTGTTCCTCCCTCTCCCGAGATCCGAGCAAGTACCCCGAGCGGAGGCCCGGCCATACGCCAACGGCCGTCCCCTTCACAGCAGCGGGTTGACGCACTCCAGGTTAGTCCAGTTTAACTCTTCGTACATTGATCTTTACATAACTTAGTAACCTTTACATTACTAAAACATTCGATTGAAATGTTGCAGGCCGAGAACGAGAGGATGGCTCAGGAGCTGCGGGACCTGGCGGCGAGGACCGAGGTGGCCGAGCGGGAAAGACAAGCCGAGCGGGCCGAGCGGGAGAGACAGGCCAAGCAGCTGGCGGAGATTACGATGTTCCTGCAGAACTTTGGGCAAGTGAACGGTGTACCTGTGCCGATGTTCGCTCCAGCGCCACCGCTAGTTGTAGCTAGTCCAGTGAGTATGAATCCATATTGCTTCGACTAGTGCTTTCATGAGATGACCCACTCTAAGCGCCTGAATCTCTTGTCCTTTATGCAGCCTCCGTCGGCGGGTTCGAATAACCCATCTCAGGCGCAAGCAGGCGGTCCCGAGTTTCCTTCACCAGGCACTCAGTTTCCTCCCCACCTTTAGTTTGTATCTCTTTTTTACCTCTTGATGGACATGTGATGCACTGTGATCCACTATCGACTTGTTTCGATGGTAATTGAACCTATTATGTTCCTATTATGTTTGTGATGTCGTGTATGTGAGGTATTGTATTCGTGATGTGATATATATGTGTGGGATTGAGTTTGTGATGAGATGGATGTGATATATATGTGCTATATTGTCTTTGTGATGCTTCAGATGTGATATATATCTTTTATATGCTGTGTTTGTGATTATAGAATCAAAAACAAAATAAAAAAAATAATTTTTGAGGCTTTGCTTGCGGGTGCCACAGCCACGGCACTTTCGGCAAAAGCGGGAACAAATTCCCAGCTTTGCCGAAAGTGCGAGGCTGGCACCCGCAAAGTTTTTTTTCTGTGGAAAAATCTTTGTCGGGTGCTCCATGACTTGGCACCCGGCAAAAGAAATTACGAAAAAAAAATAAAAAACTCTTTGCCGGGTGCCCCAGCGGTCATAACACCCGGCAAAGAAATTATAAAAAAATAAAAAAAATCTTTGCGGTGCCTCCCCAGATGACACACCCGCAAAGAAATTATAAAAAAAAATAAAAAATCTTTGCCGGGTGCCTCCCGGCCGACGACACCGACAAAGAAAAATTTGAAAAAAAATTAAAAAATCTTTGCCGGGTGCCTCGACGATGGCACCCTTAAGCAAAGCAAGCTATGACGGATCCAAATAGCAGTGAACGACCACTTTTCTTTTTGCGGGTGCTAGGTTTGCACTCGGCAAAGTCTTTTGCCGGTGCCCGATAAAAAGCACCCGGCAAAGAAATCTTTGCCGACTAACTTTTTGCCGGAGGCTCTTTGCCGAGTGCTGCACCCGGCAAAGGCTTTGCCGAGTGCAAAGTATCCTTTGCCGAGTGCATTCGGCACCCGGCAAAGCGCCTAAATCCAGTAGTGTGCTCTGGTTGCCTCTTCTTATTAGGATTGATCATGATCCATACATGTGCTAGCTTCACTTGTCAGTTTGCCATCTTCATTGAAGACTGCAACTAAAAGTATATGAAAGCTTATCTTACACATAAAATAGCAATTAATGAAGTAACCATCTTCCTTTGTGGAATATTGAATATTGATAGTGAATTAATCTGTTGGAAAGGTGCATCTTCCTTTGTGAAATATTGAATATTGATAGTGAATTAATCTGTTGGAAAGGTGCAGGGTTGCTGTGTAAAAATTTGTGTGTTTTCTCGTCACCTTAACCTTTGTATCTAATATCATGCTGGTACTTCTCTCACCAGGCTGCGCTCTTTCTTGACTAAAGGTTGATGACAAATCTGCTGTGTGGAGTAGCGATGGTTCTGGCGAGAGTTTTGCTTATTGGGCTAAGGAATACTCCTCCGGAGCAGAACGGTTCATTGTAGGGGATGCAAAGCTTCGTCGTCTCATCAAGTCCAATCTGGTTAGTAGATGGCTTTTAGTAATATTTGTGTCTTTGCGTGCATGATCACTGTTTGTTTATATCTATTGCTAGAAAATTGATTGCTTCAACGAGGAGGTATGTTGTTCATGAAGTGGTGTGGGGTTTAAGATATGCCCTGCCTTTTCTTGTTTCTCAATTCATAGAAAATATCACTATCAGTCGTCAGTGCCCTCTCCCATTATGCCAAGGATTTGAAGACTTGATGAAGAAATATGAAATCGTGATTCCTACTAAAGCTGTAAGTTCTGGCAGTTGAACCCTTGTTTTTCTGCTTTGACACTTGCGTGTTGTGTGCGTGCGCGCTTTACAGTCGAAACTAGTTCTCAATGAAATAAATTTTTAGTTGCCAATGAACAGACATTGCATCTCTACCTTTGTATCTCACAATGATATCATTCAGGATTTCATTTTGTAATGCTTGTTTTTCTTGCATTTAATGTTGGTTGGCTCTCACTACTACACAAAAGATTATGCGCAGCGTTGCATTTTTACACTCCGTGGCGATCACCTATTTTCGCCCGCTGTGGTAAATGCCACGATTTACCGCGGCGGGCATTTTTTATTTACCGTGGCGGGCACTTTTGCCCGTCACGGTAAATCGATTTACCGTAGCGGACGTCTTAAGATGCCCGCCACGGAAAATATGTATTTTCCGTGGCGGACGTGTTAAGATGCCCGCCACGGTAAATCGATTTTCCGTGGCGGGCGTCCTATAATGCCCGCCACGGTAAATGGCCGAGGCCTAACAGGCCCAGGGCGAGGCCCAATAACTGGTCTCCATATAAAATGAGCACTTTAGAAGTTTAGGGTTTCAGTTCACTCACTCCTCTCCACCGGTAGCGCCGAAGTCACTCCTCTCCTATCGCGAGCCTCTCTCCTCCCGTCACCATCTCCTTCCCTCTCCCTCCTCCAGCACGGCGCTCTCCCTCCCTCTCTTCTCTCCCACCGATCCCTCCCTCTCCCTCCTCTCTCTCTTCCGATCCTCTAGCACGGGGCGCGGGGCCTTGAGCGCGGTGGCTCGTGGGACGGCAACGACGAGCCCGTCCTGAGGCGGATCTGGCCGATGGCGGCGCGCAGTGACCGGATCCGGCCGGTGACGGCGTCCCGAGGCGGATCCGGTCGGTGGCGGCGCGCGGTGGCCGGATCTGACAGGCGAGGACGGTTCGGCGCGGCGGCCTCCCTCCACCACGGCGGGATCTCCACCACGGCCACGACGCCGGGACCTCCACTACGGCGGGCGAGGATGCGTCGGCGAGGCGGCCTCCCTCCACCACGGCGGGATCTCCACCACGGCCACGGCGCTGGGATCCACCACGGCCACGACGCTGGGACCTCCACCACCGCGGGCGAGGACGCGTCGGCGCGGCGGGATCCGCAAGGAGGCATGGGGATCCGCGAGGAGGCGTCGGCGTGGCCCCTGCGAGCGACTGGCGAGGTGGTGGCGGCCCTGCAGTGGCGTCGGCGTGTCCAGCCGGCTTCTCCAGAGACGCTGGGGCCCGGCCGGCTGCTCCTCTTCTCCCTCCCGAGCGGCACGGATCTGCAGCCGTGGGAAGCCCGGATCCGTCGCCGGTGGGCTCGCCAAAGGCTCGAGAACGGCTCGCCCAAGCGGGCTCTTGTTTTTTTTTTTTTAAATGATTAACCGCAGCGGGCATCCTAACGTGCCGCCGTGGTAAAAAGTATATTTACCGCGGCGGGCACGTTACACCGCCCGCCGCGGTAAATCGGTTAACCGCGGCGGGCAAGGCCACCCGCCGCGGTTAAGCCACGATTTACCGTGGCCTCTAGGCCGCGGCGGACGGCTTTGCCCGCCGCGGAAAACCAAAAACGCCCGCCTCCAGTAAAGTTTTTGTAGTAGTGTCTGCTTAGAGTTGTCATTTGCAGCTTCAGCAGGTTCATGTAATGCTTCTTTTGATGATGTTTATTTAGGTTGATAGAGACTTTGTAGCCTATGCTGGTTCATTGCAACGAGTTGAGGAACTGAGGGTGTGTCGTTGCACTGAGATGCGTAAGGCATGTGACAAAGCTGGTTCCTGGTATTAGTAGAATGAACAAGGATAACTCTCGCTATGTAGAAGTTATGGCAAAGATTCTGACCCCTTCGTTGGTTGAATGGGATCCATACAAGGTAGTTTACTTTATGTCGCAACAAACTGTTCTGAAATGTATCAATTGTTGCTTTTGATAAAATAATTGTTCTTTGGAATTTGATACAGTGGTCCACCACTGCTGGTGAGCCGTGGTTCACTCCTGATGAGATGCGGAAGATAGTGGCTAAAGATGCTGCAGCAGGTGATGCTCGTAAGAAGGTTGACGAGGATGATTATGAGATGGCTGCTATGATAAAGGACAACCTTCGTGACTACAGGGGTTACCCTAAAGCGGAAGATATTTTTCTTCGGAAACTCAGGTCTTATGAAGCAAAGGCGAAGAGAGGGCAAAAGAGGAGCCATACAGAGATGGCTGAACAGGAGGTAGGAGGTAGTTGAGGCGGCTGAAGGGAGGAAGGGAGAGGATGGTGCTGATGTCACTGGGGTGTGTCTGAAGAAAAGTGAAGCCCTTCCAACGACAGTAGCAAGGCATAGATTTCTGATAATCAGCTGTATGCTTAAGCTGCCAGTGTGTTGCTAGTACGGTCCTGGAACCAATATATTGTATTATGCCACATTATGTTATGTACTACTAGTCTCCTACTATATTAATTCGGATCTGGAACCTATGTATGTATTAACTTATGTCTGGAAGCCTGGTCTGCTAGAAATCGAAATCATCAGTGTATTAGAACACATAATATTTTCTACTTCACAATATGCATTATGTGCCCTACTGATTTGTAGACACATAGGACTGCATCATATATATTTTTGGTTTTCTACTTTAGTTTCCCAAGAACGTAAATAGAGTGATACACAAATCATATATATTTTTAGTTTTCTATTGTAATAGTTTCCCAAGAACGTAAATAGAGTGATATACATTCTCTGAAACATTTCTTAGCTCTTGATTCTTACTCTCCGACGTGTCGTAATATCGTTGTCCTCATGTATCTCCCTGTCTCTACTCTATTGAGTCATGTGATTATTATTGTACAAGTGTTTATGTATCTACTCTCTACTGATTCACGTGATTATTATTGTACGAGTGTTTAAATATTTAAGCTATAAATTTTTTTTCATGCACCCATGTACACATTTATGCATGGTCCCTTGTTCCAATTGATGATTTGGTGAAGACATACTTAATCAGTGAGCATGGCCGTCCGTTGTCTCCACAATAACCTGCTACCTCATTGCATCTTGGTTCATACAACTAGCAAAAAACTGCTACCTCATTGCATCTTGGTTCATACAACTACCAAAAAACCGCTACCGTGCTAACATCTGTGCGTGCAAAATATGAACCTACGTTCTACATTAGTCGCATGTTCGGTTGTGCGGCTGATGCTATTTTGTTGTGAGAGAAAAACTATATACCATGGCTTATAATGAGGGCTTATAATGAGGGCTGATAAGAAGGCGAGTACCTATTTCACGACAATAGGCAAACACAAATTATACACTGGCCCAATTTAGTAAAGGCATGTTGGCGTGGCATTGTTGCGCCCCTTTTTCTAGTAGAATGATATAATCGAGTAGGCATCCTGAAGTTTAATGACTTTGATTCTGCTCTACCTCTTCTGACCAGACTTTTTCTTGGAAGCAACATTTTGCTGGGAGTAATTCCTGACGAGCTTATATATTGTTCCGTTGGTGCTATTCCTCCTAAAATAGGCTTTCTTATAACAAGCTAAGAGCATTTTCAAGAGTATCCAATATTTTCTTCTAAAAAACATCGTATTTTCCAACTCTCGAAAAGTACTGGAAGGAATAAATAAGACCATCTCCAAGAGTTTCCAATAATTCACTCCCAAAATTTCAAAATTTTGGTCCAACACACAATTTTGTTCGCGGCAGTTTTTTTTCTCGGCGCGAGATCGTCGCCGCCACCTCCCACTCTTCTGCCGAACTGCTCGCTGCTGCCTCTCCCCTCCCAGCCGGCCGCCCGCCACAGCAGGCTGGGAGCCTGGGAGCGTCTCCCTGCTGGCCATCATTGGCGTAGGCAGTAGGCTAGACGTCATGAGTTCTTCAAAGAGAATTGAATGATTCAGATGAGGATGGCTATGTCATCTTGTCAGCAAGTTGAGAAAACAAGTTCATCCTCCTTCGGATTGAATTTTTTGCCTTTTATGATTTGGCCTTGCAGCGCGTGGGCGTTCAACACCATGCCTGCACCACTTCAACTGCTTCAACTGTCATCCACTCCTGTGACCATGTTTGTCCAATATTCACCCCCAGACATTGGGACGAGCCTACAAATATTGATGAATAAATCAATACCAAGCCACGGACAGGCAAACAGCCGGCCAGGACACGAGAGCCAGGCAAGCCGCATCCAGGCATGGCCATGGCTAGGGCGGGCGCGCAGCAGTTGACCACGGCCAGGCCAAGGCGCCCAGCAGTTGGCCATGGCTGGCCGCATCCAGACGCGGCCACCGGCGGCCATGGCCCTCCGGGGTGCGGCCGCTGGCTGGGGTGCCTAGGGGCGGCCACAAGTCGTCTAGGGCAAAGATGAACGAATTGAGGCGATGGATTACCTCTTCCCTAGGTCGGCGGCGGCGAAGATGGGCTCCTGGACTGTGTGTAGTCGATGGCGCATGGGAGAAGAAGCACGGGAAGGAGGAGATCACGAGGGAAAAGTGGTGCCACGGGAAGGATATGCGTGTGATGGAGTCCGCGGATATATCCACGCAAAGGGGGAAGTTTTCCAAATGCCAAAATATTAGGAGGTTAGATTGGGAACCGTTGGAGAGGTGTGTGTTTTTTTTTAATTTTGCAAGAAAAACAAGGATCGGGAGAAAATATTGGGAACTCAATAATTATATCATTGGTGTCATCCCGTCAGCCATCGGAAGAATCTCAACATTAGAAATAGTGGATCTTTCCCTAAATCAACTAATCGGAAGCATCCCCAATGAAGTTTGGAAAATGCCAAACATAATGAATTTGAATCTAGGAGAAAATGTGAAAGGACATGTGAGCCTCAATAGCAACGGCGTTGTGCCTCGTCGACTGTGGTGACTTTGCGAAGATGCTCATAGGGTTTGAGTGCGTGCGTTCATAGGGGATGAGTGTGTGTGTTGTGAGCGCCACTAATACGCTAAGCAGAACATTACCATCAAACATAAACATTGGCGATGCTCTCCCTAATCTCCAATCACTCTACTTAGGAGACAACTATTTTGAAAGCAGCGTTCCAACTTCCGTGGGTAATCCTTCAAGCCTAGAAATCGTAGATCTATCTATGAATTATTTTTGCTGGCCATATCCCAAGCTCTTTTGGAAACCTCTCACGCTTGGATTTTCAAAACCTTGAGTTAAACATGCTTGAAGCGCAAGGGATAGTGGAGTCTGGGTATTTTCCTCGATGCCTCGCATGTAAGTATTTCTCTAAAAATGTTTTCGCTGTCCACAAATCAGCTACACAGAGCTATACCAAACTCGATTGTTAATCTGTCGGTGGAAACAGACTATCAGGAATAGTTCCCCAAGTATTGCAAAACTTAGTGGCTTAGTTCAAATATCATTGGGCCAAAACAATCCAACTGGTACAATTAACGAGTGGGTCGGATGGATGACAAATGTACAGCATTTAAATCTCAGATCGAACAGCTTCAGAGGAACAATTCCACCGTCCATGGGAAACCTTAAACAACTGTTGAATTTGTACCTTAGCTATAACGATTTCCAAGGCAGTATTCCTGCTAAGTTTGGCAACTTGAGAAAACTCACTATACTAAATCTTTCATCAAATCAAACAAATTAAGTGGGGCCATTCCACCTTCTATTGCCCATCTTACACAATTGGTACATCTCTATCTAGACCAAAATCTATTCTCTGATCTTTAACCACGTTCCTTAGCTTGTAAGATTATGAAAGGCTTTTGCCCAAAATGATGTAAATGGATTGATTTTTTTCACTGGTATGGTGTCCGTATTAAAACTATGACGATACTGAACATATATTACGGATGAGTTGACAAATTCCTAAGATAGCCAATTACCAAAAAGAAATTGTGAGGAAAATCGAACTGCAGCCCAGACTAATAAAGGATCTTTAGGACCACTCCCAATCTTGGACCATATCCGGCTATCCGCTCTGATCAACGCTGAATGAAAGTGGGCAGGGAGCCAAGGCTTCAAGGGGTCAAGCCATTCCCTTCAGAAATTCCTGCGAGCCTAGGTCCTCCAGCCTTTCTGCTGTCTCCAAAACCATGTCCCTCAGATCATTCTGGTACTTAGTTACCCTGCAAAAATAAAATGTCACAACAGTATAGTGTAACGGCCTGGAAACTTTCTAGAGATGACTACTATGTAGTGTCAACATGAAACAGGTATGGAACGCTGAAAGGCAAAGGTTGATTAGAGAAATTAAAAATTGGCAACTTCTACATTCAGATAGAAACACCTAGACACTCACAAAGTCAGGAAATGAAGCCCGACTCTGAGTGCCCCGGCGAGCGAGAGCCCACCCACCCCAACCCACCGGCGTCCCCTCCGGCGCCGGCGGCCACCCCAGAAAAGCCAGAGCCCTCCTCCTGTGTGCCCGCCTCGCTGTCCGCGCCCTGTGGGCCCCCAGTCGGCGAGCTGGTGGAGATCGACGAAGAAGAGCTGCTTGACTAGGGAGATGCAGAGGAGGCAGACGCCATTGATGAGCCCTCCTCTTCCACCATGGATGTTGCAGGGGATCCGATGCCTGGATCCGGCTCTCCAGCCTGGCAACCTGCGGGGCGGGATCTGATGGATCCCCTGCTGCAGCGATGGCTGCTGTCTCGATTCCAATGTTTTGAAAAACGTCATTAAACGTCGTTTAATCACGTTTAAACGCTAAACGTTGGCCCAGCGTTGCGTTTAGGGGGTAAACGTTGAATTAAACGTTGTGCGTGATTAGGCGCTCGTTTAATCGCGTGGCAGAGATTAATCGCGCGTAATCGGTCAAAAAACGCGTCTAGGCGGTGGAAAACGCGTTGCTCGCGAGCGGGGAAGCGTCCGGCACGCGAGCGGGAAGAGGGAGGGAATCGCGCGCGCGCGCGGGAAATAAGCATGGGAGGGCGCGGGAAACACCAGGCGGGCCCGACGCGGGAGCACAAATCGGCCGCAGAAACGAAGTCGGGATTTGTCGCACTCCAGTTCCGCCTCCGCCTACCTCCCGCCGCGTGCCTCCCTCCTCCCACTTGGTCCCTCCTCGCCGTCGTTGGTAGGGCCGTAGGGGTCGTTGCTAGGGCTCCCCTTCTCCTTCGCGGGCGCAGAGGCCGCAGGCGCAAGGGCCGTCCGCAACAGAGGCCGGTCCAGGCACAGCCCCTCGACTGCGACAGAGGGCAGGCCGCTGGCGCAGGACAGGAGTCGACAACAGCAACACAGAGGCCGGTGCAGCCCCGCACTCGTTCTCTCCAGGTGCTCCCTCGGTCTCACCCAAATCCCCATCTTCCCATGCTCTGTTCTTTTGATTTATGTATGTCAATAACTGAAATTGATCTGTTAGTCTTGGTCCTTATTATGCTACTCTTGTTTCTGTTAAGATTGAATGTGTACTGCTCCTTAGTCCTTGATGTGTTGATCTGTTACTCTTGGTCCTTATTATTCTACTCTTGTTCTTGGATTGGGATTAGGATGTCGGCTTCCGAAGCAGCAGCTGGTGCTGGTGCTGCAGCAGCGGCTCCGAAGCTACCGATACTACCAACCACCTAAAGAGGAAATCATCTGATATAGGCTGGGAGGGGCGTCTCTGTGATCCCAATGACAAGAACAAAGTCAAGTGTCTTCTTTGTGGCCATGAGAGTGCAGGAATTAATCGCCTTAAGCAGCATCTTGCTCATAGGGGCACTTCTATTGCGAAGTGCCAAAAAGTTCCTGATGATGTTAAGCAAAAGTGCATTCAGAATCTTGATGAAATAGCAAATAAGAAGAAAGGGAAGCAACAACGTGATAAAGAGCTTAGGGAGAATGTGCAACTTGCAACAGGTGAAGAGGAAGTGACAGAAGTTGAGTCACTTGCTGGAAGCTCAAGTACACCTCACAAGCTAGGACCCATGGACAGATTTACTCGTCCCATTGATCCCAAGTTAAGCAGTGCTGAAGCTAAGAGGCAACAGAACATAAATGAAGCACTTTGGAAAGAAAGAACTCACCAAGTGCAGCAATATGTTGCTAAATGGGTATATACACATGGTATGTTCTGTACTTAAGTAATTTACCATTCCTTATTGCTGCAACCTTCTTATTTATTCGAATCCATGCATTATTAGCTGCTGCAATTATAATTTTCTGCACCATTCTATTTTGCAGCTATTCCATTTAATGCTTGTGATAATGATGAGTTCAAAGAAATGGTTGAAGCTATTGGTCAATTTGGTCCTGGTTTCCAACCTCCAACTCAGCATGATTATCGGGGTAGATTGTTGGATGAGTATGCAAGAACGAAGAGCTTGCTACAAGACCGTGAAGATGAGAAGGTTAAGAATGGCTGCTCCATCATGACTGATGCATGGACAGATATGAAGAGAAGAAGTATTATGAACCTGTGCACAAATACTAGTGAGGGCACAACATTTATCAAGTCTGTGGGGATGTCAGATGTGTCACACACTAGTGAAGTTATCTATGAGCTCATTGACAAGGCAATTGAGGACGTAGGTGCTGAAAATGTAGTGCAAGTTGTGACAGATAATGCCTCTAACAACATGGGAGCAAAGGCATTGCTGCACCTCAAGAGGCCAAACATATTTTGGACTTCTTGTGCAACTCATACCATCAATCTGATGCTGCAAGGTATTGGCAACCTTGCAAAATTCAAGAAGACAATTGATCTAGCAAAATCATTCACTATCTTTGTCTATGGTCACCACCGGACCCTGGCATGTTTGAGGTCCTTCACCTTGAAGAGAGAAATCATAAGGCCAGGGGTAACCAGATTTGCTACAGCCTATCTTACACTGCAAAGTATGATGGAAAAGAAGGATTGTCTAAGGAAGATGGTGGTTGACTCAAAGTGGTATGACTTACTTCAGGCGAAGACCAAAAGGGCAAGGATGCTACAGCCACAGTGTTGAACATACAATTTTGGAGAAATGTGGCCCTTTGTTTGAAGGTCTTTGAGCCCTTGGTGAAAGTTCTACGTTTGGTTGATGGGGATGTGAAGCCATCTATGGGTTTTGTGTATGGAGAACTTCTCAAGACAAAGAAGGAGATCAAGGAGGCATTTGGAAATGTGGAAAGGAACTACAAAGAAGTGATGGCTATTGTTGATAAGAAGATGAAAGATAGGCTTGATTCTCCATTACAGGTGGCTGCATATATGCTGAATCCTTACTACAGTTACAGCAATCCAGCAATCTTCAATGATTCAACAGTAGTGGAAAAATTCATGGAGTGTGTGGAGACCTTTTACTGTACAGATGATGACAAGGGATATAGGGCTGTTAATGTAGACTTGGAACAGTTCCAGAAGAGACTAGGAAACTTCTCAAAGAAGCTGGCAAGGAGCTGCGAACGCTTCGAGTTCAACCCGGGTAAGCTTTTGCATCATTTCTGTCCAAATTTGTACTGCAATTAATTCTATACAAAATTTTCTGCAATCAAAACAGCACATGTTTGAGACATTTGACTTCATTTTTTAGCATCTTGGTGGAGGCTTTATGGAGGTGGAGCACCAGATTTGCAATATATGGCTATTAGAATCCTCTCACTGACTTCTAGCTCATCTGGATGTGAAAGGAATTGGAGCATATTTGAACAGGTTAGTTTGTAGTCTTCACTAGTTGCTCTCTATTCCCAATTTAATGTACATGTGCTGATGTTGGAATTGTATTTTATAATGTACAGCATCATACAAAGAGAAGGAATAGGCTGACAACAGAGCGCCTCAACTCTCTGGTATTCATCCAATTCAATAATAAATTGATGTCCAAGAAGGAGAAAATTAAAAGAAAGAGTAACTATGAAGTGCTCCTAAGTAGTGATGCTTCTGAAGCTCAAGGATTTTTCTATGAGGGAGGGGATGATCATGCATTGGTTGTCTTCAGGGATGAGGAAGATGAGCTAGAACAAATGCCGGAGACAGGGATACCATGGAGTGTCCTTGGAGATGCAATGGGAACTAATGAACAGCTTCAACCTCGAAGGAGTGCAAGAGTGGCTAGAGAGGTGGATGAAGAAGAGTGGGAATCTGATCCTGAAGATCCTGACTATCAAGATGATGACATTGCCTATGAGGATGATGAGGATGAAGAAGCAATTCTAAATTGCAATGCATTTATGGAGTGAGGACTGAGGAGATTGCATGATGGCAGCAGCAGCAGTGGTCGCCAAGTTATCTAAATATTAATATCTACTTATCTAGTTATCTTTAATTTGTGTGTGGACCATAAGACCATTATTGTGTGTTGTATTGTACTTGTATCGCCTACTACTATCTTTAATTTGTGAGTCGTGATCATTGTGTGTATATTTTCTTGTGATATTTTGCCTTGTGCTTTTGCTGCCTGCTGCCCCTGTTGTTTGAAGCTTGGATGTACATGGAGTCATGTACAATATTGACCAGAATTGATGCCTTGTGCTGCTGCCCTGTTCTTATGTTGCTGCAACACCGTTGTTTGCTAGATCAATTTTGCCTTGTGCTGCTACCCTCATAGATGAGTTTCTATTCTTTACCTATTATTTGAATTTTTCTGCTTCCAGATTATTAAATTGTCTCTCTTTGATTGTTAGCTGCTGTTTAATGCAAGAAACCAAGGAGGAAAGGAACTCATGTCGAAAACAAGTGTGTGCAGAAGAGGTATGATCACCGTTATTACTTCAAGTTGTGTTATTAGTAATCGACTTTGCTCTCAAATCACAAAAATTATAAAAAACAAAAACGTTTAATCACATTTAATCTCGCTTAAACTTCCTAAACTCTAAACTTTAGGCTAGCGCACGCCTAACGCACAACGTTTTTCAAAACATTGCTCGATTCCACCACACCCCCATCTGAAGCCTGAAGACCCGACGCGGACCGGAGGCGCAGCGCCAGCCAAGCTCAAATCGGTGCTTGTCCAGCCTACCCAGCGTGCTCAGATCGCTTTGAAGCTCGGAGGCGACCTCGGAAGACGATCCGGCAAATGCAGCGTGGATCTGAAAGCGCTCTTTCCTCGATTTACCCTTCCTCCATGGCTTTCGGCTCACCCGAATGGCAAAAGGCAAAGACAGACGCCGAAACGCACAACCCGGACACCGCCGCACCCAAGGCGGCGGCCAAAGGTGTGCCTAACGCGGCTTGGGATGCCTTTAAGAGGTGCTTCAGCACGGAGATGTTTTCACGCGCCGCTTCGACCACAACATCGCCAAGTGCCGAGATCCAGATCCACGCATCCTCTGCCGAGGATCGGGCATTTCGCCCGCTCCGCCCCATCTCGCCAAAGAAGACATCATCTCACCAGACTCGCGCCGCCTCACCTTACCCCGGAAAGCATCCACAATGTGACCAGATTCCCCGCTCCCGATCCCGCCCACCCCACCGCCGCTGCCAAGCCCGACATGGCGCGACTCACCCGTCGGCGCCACATGCGCCACCGCATCAAAGATCGCTGCCGAGGATGCAATGCAATCGTGAGGCAACCAGACTCGTGGCTCACGCCGCCATCATCTCCTCATCGCCGGCGGGCTATCGCCCAACGCGATCGGAGGTGGCCTATGCTTTGGCCGGATAGTCGATCCGCTCAAGCAAGCATCCGCGTCACCAAGTATGGCCCTGGAGAGTTCGTGGCGGAGTTCGGGGAGCCGCAAGAGAGGGATCGTGCCCTCTGCAAGGGGTGCATTGAGATTGAAGGCTCCATCTTCCCCATCCGGCCGTGGCTCTCGGCTGGGGGTGGTCTAGAGCGCACCTGGTGGTACCACGTCAAGGTCACCATGGAGCACATCCCGCTGGAGGCCTGGAACGAGGAGGGAGTCAAGCTCATTCTTGGTGACTCGTGCATCTTTGACAGGTTCGACAGATGTATGCTGGCTCGGGAGACCTCGCAGTTCCCGACTTTGCTGGGTCTGGATGGACGACCCCGAAGAGCTCCCGAGGTCCTTGGAGTACACCATCTTCGCGGCGCGGGCGGGGCAGGCCATGGAGATCAACGGCCTTGCGGCGCCGACGCGCACTCCATCCTCTCCTCCGATCGGGATGGGCGCTGACAAGATCATCCTCATCCACATGGAGGGATATGAGGATTGGAGTCCAAGAACACCTGACGGCAAAGGCTCTAGGACGTCTTCTGAACATGACAGCTCTACACCAACTGTCGTGCCTTTAGAGTGGGCGGTAGGGGTCCTTGACGGGCAACCAGCTCCGGCCAGGCGCGTGCGTCCCGATGTCTGTCATCCACCGCCAGAGCATAGGGAAACTAGGGATGACAACAACGACAACTTCCGCGAACCGCCTCGCCGTGGAGACGTGCCCAAGAGCACTAGAGTCCGACAGCTCTCCCTGAAAGGTCATAATGGCCAGAGGGGGGTGAATAGCTTATTAAAAATTCTACAACAACACTTAAGCTAAATGGTTAAACAATTATACGGCGAAGCGAGTGTTGCGCTAGCTTACTAACATTGCAAGCCTTCTGTCCACAATCCTAGTAATCTATGATCTCTATGTCACACAAGAGGCTAAGTCACTACTCTCTAAGTTAGTGAGCTCTCAAATGCTAACTAAAGGGCCTCACTAACCACTAACTAGACACAAACTAGCTCTCAAGACTAACTACACTAAAGAGTTTAGTTACACTAGGAAAGTAAATACAAGAGAGGTAGTGAATTTTATACCGCCGTGACAAGAGATACACAATCAATCACAAGAGAATTCCGGAGACAATGATTTATCCCTGAGGTTCACTTGCTTGCCGACAAGCTACGTCCTCGTTGCAGCGATTCACCCACTTGGAGGTTCACGCGCTAATAGGAATCACACGCCTAACCCGCAATCAGGTGCCGCACAACCAACACAAGATGGGGATCCATAAGCTACGAGCAATCCACTAGATTACCTTTTGGCTCTCCGCCGGAGAAAGGTCAAGAACCCCTCACAATCATCACGATCGGAGCCAGAGACAATCACCTTCCACCACTCGACGATCCTCGCTGCACCAAGCCGTCTCGGTGGCGGCAACTACCAAGAGAAACAAGAGAAATCCACAGCGAAACAGAATCACCAAGTGCCTCTAGATGCAATCACTCAAAGCAATGCACTAAGATGCTCTCCAATCTCACCAAATGATGAAACAATCAAGTAGGATGAGTGAGAGAGGATTGGCTAGGCTCACTAGGGTGTATTCTCAATAGAAATGGTCAAGAGTGTGAGCCCAAGCCGGTTACCACGTTTATATAGAGCCCTCAACGAAATAGAGCCGCTAGGGTCAAAGGGGAGCTCCCTGCGCACTGACCGAACGAGCCAGTCGGGATGACCGGACGCGTGACGCCCAGCGTCCGGTCGCGCATCGGCTGCCACGTGTCGCCGCCTTCAAACATGAGCCACTGATCTCCAACGGTCAGTTACGCCCATGCCACGCGTCAAGTAAAGACCGGACACGCCAGCCTTGACCTGACGCTGCGCCACCGCGTCCGCTCGCGCGCTTCCGCGCTGCCTTCGCGCCAATACCGGACGCACCACCAACGTGGCGTCCGATCACTTCCAGAGGATCCAGAGCCGTATTTTCTTGATCGGACGCGTCAGATCCATCCCGACCGAACGCAGGCCAGCGTCCGACCCTTCTGCCGCTGCACGTCAAGTTCAAACACCCCCACGTCAGCATACGTCACATGCGACCGGACGCAGGCCCTGCGCGTCCGGTCGCGTGCTTCCACCAGAGTCCGGTCAGGACCCGAGGCCACGCCACCTCTGCGCAACACTGACCTGACGCACTCCCTCCGAGTCCGGTCACTTTGGGACCAGAGTCCGGTCAGAGAAAAACAGCGCCTCCTCTTCTCCAACTTCGCCACCCTTTCTCCAATGTGTCAACCACCAAGTGTATCACTTTGTGCACATGTGTTAGCATATTTTCACAAGTATTTTCAAGGGTGTTAGCACTCACTAGAATCTAAATGCATTTGCAATGAGTTAAAACATCTAGTGGCACTTTGATTACCGCATTTCGATACAAGTTTCACCCATCTTAATAGTACGACTATCTATCCTAAATGTGATCACACCCACTAGGTGTCTTGATCACTAAAACAAAGAGCTCCTATCAATTATACCTTGCCTTGAGCTTTTTGTTTTTGTTTTTCTTCTTTTCCAAGCCCGAGCACTTGATCATCACCATGGCCATCACCACCATCATAATCTTCATCCATTTGCACCACCACTTGGATTAGTGTTACCCTATCTCATGATCACTTAGAGCAAAGGATTAGCACCTAGGGTTTCATCAATTCACCAAAACCAAACTAGAGCTTTCACTCCCCCAGCTGCAGCTCGGAGCGTGCGGTCCGTGCTTGTACCCGCTCGCCGTCAGCCTACCGCCGGGCTTGGGATGGTGACCAAGCCCCAATGGACCGAAGGCGTTCAAGCAGCCGCTCGCCACGGAGAGTTGTGCGCGGGCGGGAGGCCCTCGCACACGCCTCTGAGGACTAGGAGCGCCGGTGCTCGCGCTCCCCGGCTGCCCGAGCTAGGAAAAGATATCCGTGCTTCGCTCCGTCGGTAAGCCGTGACCCATTGCTTGACTACTTTAGGGACTCGGACGGCGACAGGACGACCTTGTATCAGGAAGATGACCCAATGGTCCACGAGCATGCCTGCACCAGGCTGTCTGGAGCACCGCAGTGCTATTCGCTGGACGATAATGCCGGCAACAGGGCTGGCTCTCCGGAGTCCAGACCCGTCAGCAAGCTGCAAGCCCCTCGGCCCAGCCCCTACAGCCCGAGGAGGTGGTCTTCGGGCCAGGTGTTCAGCTCGATGCGCCTCAGCTATCCAACTTCGGCCCAAGCACCAAAGATGTCTCGGACGTGGATGATCTGGCCATCCGAGACGCCACAGACCGGCACAATTCTGATGAAGAGACTGCAGAGGGGCCTAATGATTATGATGCCTTCTGTGCGAGGATATTCAAACCCGCCCCTGCTCTGATCCTACTGAGGCTGGACTCGCCTCCTCCGCCCCCTCCGACCAGCAGCAGAGGCCGGAGGAGGGCTCCTGCTGCCTCCACCGGCTCCAGTACTCGTCTGGCAGCCCGACCATCCTCGGTCCCAGTTGCCGAGCGTGCCCAGCACAAGCTAATGCGCGAGCTGTCCTTCATCAACGGCAAGTC